CTATTTCTTCCGATGTTTTTAAGGTGGCCACCGATCCAAATAACGATGTGAAGAGGTTTGCTGTGATGGGAATTGGGTTCCTGTTGAGCAAGTGAGCTTGTTCTTCTTTTCTCCGTGGTACTTTCTAGCATGTTCGGTCTCAATACAAGTATTTTTCAGCAATCCCGCAATCTGTAAAGACTATGTAGGTATGCTTGTTGAACACTTCAATAGTCACGTACGATATGGAGCTGCAATGGCCCTGGGTATTGCCTGTGCTGGGACGGGATACAAGGTTAGAACAAGGATTCACTGTAATCTATAAGTGTATGTGTACGTAGTGCCACAGCTTATAGCACCTTCATTGATCCGTCCTATTCAAGTTCTTCTTGTACCTAACCGATTGCAGGAAGCAATATCCTTGCTAGAGCCCCTGCTTTCTGCAAAGGAAAACTACGTTCGACAAGGAGCTGTTATTGCACTTTCATTTATCTACGTGCAACAGACCGACGTCGGTTGCCCAAAGGTTTCTTTTCCAGTGAATTGGCACTCTGCATCCTCAAGAGGTCTTTTGAAAGAACCTTTCTGCAGGTTGGTGAGTTCCGCAAACAGTTGACTAAAATGACAACGGAGAAGGGTGAAGATTCTATGGCTAAATTTGGAGCGATCATAGCGCAGGTACTTTAAACTTTAATTCTGAGCTTCCCAGTGCTTTCAGAGATGCTGGGTTGATCATTGACAATTTTCTTGTTACCCATACCCCACAAAATTCTTTATGAGCTCGTTTCAGGGCATTCTCGATGTCGGCGGACGCAATATGACGATTGCACTCCATAATCGTTCGGGTACCATTGACATGGGTGGTGTGGTTGGTATGATGGCGTTCCAGCAGTTCTGGTATTGGCATTCAATGGTTCCCTTCATTTCTCTGGCTTGTAAACCAACGTGCCTAATTGCACTTACAAAAGATCTACAGGTAACGTTCAATTGTGTGGGATCTGTGTTTATTCTCGGAACCCCTTGAGTCTAATCATCGCGACCATTGCATTGAAGGGCCAATAACACCAATTTAAATGCTTTTCTAGTTTGAATTTTCAGATGCCTAAGATCGAGTTTAAATGTAATGCTAGAGCTTCGCTGTTTGCGTATCCTCCACCACTAGAATCCAAAAAGAAAGAAGAGCATGAGAAGGTTCGTACACTGGTCTGTATGCTGCAGGACTTCACCATAAAATCAGCATGAACACAACTGCTTCTCTTTCAGGTCGAAACGGCAGTTCTTTCCATCACCCATAAGAAAAAGCCAGCGAAGAAAGGTGAAGAGAAGATGGAAGTGGACGAGGAGCCGAAACCAGCGAAGGAGGAAGAAAAGTTAGTCAATATTCCTGATTAGGAATTTTTTTAATCATAGTTGCTGTTTAGTAAATAATTCCTATTAATGGTGTATATTTCTTCTTTTCTTCTAGAAACTTTGCGTTATGATGATTTTGCTGTTTTAGAAAAGTTGTGCCCGATAACGAACCGCCTACGCACACTATTGAAAATCCTGCACGGGTGGTGCGACTTCAGTTGAAAACTCTGTCTATGATGGAGAACTCAAGGTGAGTTTCTCATCCTACTCTTTATACGAAGGATCCAAATCTAACGCCATTTACAAAGCTTGGACGATTTTGTTCACTTTCGGCTCACTAGAAAATAATTACTTTCATTTTTTTGTATGAAGGCGGCTCCATAGTATTATGTACCGGGACTGAGTTGGGAATTTGTGCGGAAAAATGAACAATATTACTACCTGAAGAACAACGGGTGTGAAATCTTGCAGCCAAAAAGCTGCCACTTCCTCTTTCACGCGGATCAGGAACATTTTTACTTTTTTCAATTTTGTTCGATCAAGTATATCTCGGGCATTCCTGCTCCTCAGCGTAATATTGCCGAACACGAGTTTCTAAGCAGGTTTTGATGTTCTTAAGGTATAAACCTGTGAAGTCGGTCACGTATGGTGGTATCATCATGTTACTCGATAGGACCCCGGATCAGAAGGCAGAGTTGGTTGTCCAGGTAAGGGTATTTTCGAATCAGTGCCATGCTTTTATAACTGAATAACAAGTTCGAATTTCTACTTCCGGGTCCATTTTCAGGCTGTGGCGGGCGGTACAACTTTGGATCCCTGCTGCTCCCGAGAAACAACCACACTCGACTTTCGAGATAGATCTCAAGGACTATTGAAGCAAGATGGTCGTTGT